TGTATGTGTGTCAAGTTATAACAAAGGATGTTAACGATATACTGTATATGTGTCAAGTTGCAACAAAGGATGTTACCGATGTACTGTATGTGTGTCAAGTTACAACAAAGGATGTTACCGATGTACTGTATGTATGTCAAATTACAACAAAGGGTGTTACCCTTGCACTGTATGTGTGTCAAGTTACAACAAAGGATGTTACCGATGTACTGTATGTGTGTCAAATTACAACAAAGGGTGTTACCCTTGTACTGTATGTGTGTCAAATTACAACAAAGGGTGTTACCGATGTACTGTATGTATGTCAAGTTACAACAAAGGATGTTACCGATGTACTGTATGTGTGTGTCAAGTTACAACAAAGGGTGTTACCGTTGTACTGTATGTGTGTCAAGTTACAACAAAGGATGTTACCGATGCACTGTATGTGTGTCAAGTTACAACAAAGGGTATTACCGATGTAGTGTATATGTGTCAAGTTATAACAAAGGATGTTAACGATATACTGTATATGTGTCAAGTTGCAACAAAGGATGTTACCGATGTACTGTATGTGTGTCAAGTTACAACAAAGGATGTTACCGATGTACTGTATGTATGTCAAATTACAACAAAGGGTGTTACCCTTGTACTGTATGTGTGTCAAGTTACAACAAAGGATGTTACCGATGTACTGTATGTGTGTCAAATTACAACAAAGGGTGTTACACTTGTACTGTATGTGTGTCAAATTACAACAAAGGGTGTTACCCTTGTACTGTATCTGTGTCAAGTTACAACAAAGGATGTTACCGATGTACTGTATGTGTGTGTCAAGTTACAACAAAGGGTGTTACCGTTGTACTGTATGTGTGTCAAGTTACAACAAAGGATGTTACCGATGCACTGTATGTGTGTCAAGTTACAACAAAGGGTATTACCGATGTAGTGTATATGTGTCAAGTTATAACAAAGGATGTTAACGATATACTGTATATGTGTCAAGTTGCAACAAAGGATGTTACCGATGTACTGTATGTGTGTCAAGTTACAACAAAGGATGTTACCGATGTACTGTATGTGTGTCAAATTACAACAAAGGGTGTTACCCTTGTACTGTATGTGTGTCAAGTTACAACAAAGGATGTTACCGATGTACTGTATATGTGTCAAGTTATAACAAAGGATGTTAACGATGTACTGTATGTGTGTCAAGTTACAAAAAAGGGTGTTACCGATGTACTGTATGTATGTCAAGTTACAACAAAGGGTGTAACTGATGTACTGTATGTGTGTCAAGTTACAACAAAGGATGTTAACGATGTACTGTATTTGTGTCAAGTTACAACAAAGGGTGTTACTGATGTACTGTATGTGTGTCAAGTTACAATAAAGGGTGTTACCGATGTACTGTATGTGTGTCAAGTTACAACAAAGGGTGTTACCGATGTACTGTATGTGTGTCAAGTTACAACAAAGGGTGTTACTGATGTACTGTATTTGTGTCAAGTTACAACAAAGGATGTTAACGATGTACTGTATGTGTGTCAAGTTAAAACAAAGGGTGTTACCGATGTACTGTATGTGTGTCAAGTTACAACAAAGGGTGTTATTTATATAGTATTTGTGTGTCGATTTACAAAAAGGTGTGTTACTGATGTACTGTATGTGTGTCAAGTTACAACAAAGGGTGTTACCGATGTACTGTATGTGTGTCAAGTTACAAACAAAGGGTGTTACTGATGTACTGTATGTGTGTCAAGTTACAACAAAGGATGTTAACGATGTACTGTATGTGTGTCAAGTTAAAACAAAGGATGTTACCGATGTACTGTATGTGTGTCAAGTTACAACAAAGGGTGTTATCGATGTAGTATTTGTGTGTCGATTTACAAAAAAGGTGTGTTGCTGATGTACTGTATGTGTGTCAAGTAACAACAAAGGGTGTTACCGATGTACTGTATGTGTGTCAAGTTACAACAAAGGGTGTTACCGATGTACTGTATGTGTGTCAAGTTACAACAAAGGGTGTTACTGATGTACTGTGTGTGTGTCAAGTTACAACAAAGGGTGTTATCGATGTAGTATTTGTGTGTCGATTTACAAAAAGGTGTGTTACTGATGTACTGTATGTGTGTCAAGTTACAACAAAGGGTGTTACCGATTTACTGTATGTGTGTCAAGTTACAACAAAGGGTGTTACTGATGTACTGTATGTGTGTCAAGTTACAACAAAGGATGTTAACGATGTACTGTATGTGTGTCAAGTTATAACAAAGGATGTTACCGATGTACTGTATGTGTGTCAAGTTACAACAAAGGGTGTTATCGATGTAGTATCTGTGTGTCGATTTACAAAAAGGTGTGTTACTGATGTACTGTATGTGTGTCAAGTTACAACAAAGGGTGTTACCGATGTACTGTATGTGTGTCAAGTTACAACAAAGGGTGTTACCGATTTACTGTATGTGTGTCAAGTTACAACAAAGGGTGTTACTGATGTACTGTATGTGTGTCAAGTTACAACAAAGGATGTTAACGATGTACTGTATGTGTGTCAAGTTAAAACAAAGGGTGTTACCGATGTACTGTATGTGTGTCAAGTTACAACAAAGGGTGTCATCGATGTAGTATTTGTGTGTCGATTTACAAAAAGGTGTTTTACTGATGTACTGTATGTGTGTCAAGTTACAACAAAGGGTGTTACCGATGTACTGTATGTGTGTCAAGTTACAACAAAGGGTGTTACCGATGTACTGTATGTGTGTCAAGTTACAACAAAGGGTGTTTCTGATGTACTGTATGTGTGTCAAGTTACAACAAAGGATGTTAACGATGTACTGTATGTGTGTCAAGTTAAAAAAAAGGGTGTTACCGATGTATTGTATGTGTGTCAAGTTACAACAAAGGGTGTTATCGATGTACTATTTGTGTGTCGATTTACAAAAAGGTGTGTTACTGATTTACTGTTTGTGTGTCTCGATACCTTGACCAATCACTGTGATGACGAAGAGCAAACAAGAATTCATGGATAGGACACATTGAGGACAACAAAGGCAAATTACATATTGATTATTAACGATAAGAAATGCAATAAGTGATCCTTGTTAGTGCTGGTGGTGTTATCTGATCCTTAATTGGCAACTCTTCGTACCACAAGCTGTGAATAACAAACCTGTTAACCTTTTACGACGGTTTCATTATTACTCCGTTCTCATTTTATGACACCCATGATCGAAGGAGCACATCTGTGTGACTTTATTACTTTGCCAAGATATTGACGTTAAGTTCATGATAGCATTCAGACTTCATACTTCAAGACTTCAAGATAATGCTAATTCAAACTTGGCATGAACGGCTTGGTTTTTATGACTTTTACAGAGCCATAAATTCATAAACAAGGCCTTGTGCATGACATCATTGTGCAGACACTTTATAAGACAATGAACAAATTAGATTACCTATTCGGGATGAAATAGACGTTTATACCCTTATTGTGGTATGTGCTCTTGACATGACAGAAACACAAGTTTTGTGTTCGCAAACGAAAATGTGCTGCATATGTTTACAATGAAAAGAATGTGGGGCATATTCCGTTTTGAGGTGGAACGACAGGAAAATACACAAATGTCAGGCAATGAAAGTAAATGATTCATGTGGCAGCAGGACAATGTCAGAAGAAATCAAGCTCTTCAAGCAAGGGGCAAGGGGTTGTATGCCCGAGTTACCATTGTCACTCAGAATCGGTTGTGAGCAGTCGCATATTATATTCTTGAAACCTAACGCTCGAAGACACTTCAATAGGCACATTTTATCATTAATTAAGCAATTGTATTGATCATGCGACGTTTGCCAAGTGCTGAACGTTAACGTGCCATAGATATGGGCTCGTGTCAGAATGTTGTTGCCCAAATGCTGCATGTTTCTCCATTTGTCATAAGCAGATCGTGGGCCCGATACCAACAAACACATAACGCCGATGATCGGGGCTCTGGACGCTAAAGGGCAACGGCTCCAGCTCAGGACAGATGAGTCAGAACGATGGCATCGAGAAATCGGTAAGATAAGGGACCGGTTGCAACAGGCAATATGAGTACATGCCCAGACGGTGCGAAATCGTCTGCACAGATGGCATTTGCGTGCATGACGTCCACGTGTCATCTTACAACTTACTGCTCACCATTTGAATCAGACGCGTCATCACTGTAATAATCGGTTTCAAGCTAATGTCATTTTTCTGAGGAATCGAGGTTTACCCTCGACTTCCATAACCAAAGGAATTGAGCTTGGAAACCTCCTATTGGGCTTTTTAAGGACGTTAACGTCATACAGCATGATCGGTCTAGGGGTGGGTCCATAATGGTATGGGGTGGTATCACAGTGACTGGCCGAACTGCACTCCATGTTGTCAAGGGCAGAGTCACAGGCCAATACTATCGGGACAATATAATTGCAGCAGACAAGTGGCATTTACATGTCGAGCAACGTTTCATTTTTCAAGATGATAATGCACATGCTCACATTGCACATTGCAAAGCATCCATGTTACGCCACTGCCCTACTGAAACGGTCCGACGTCTAAATTCATCCACCACTCTCAATGAACTCTGCGCACCTCTCACTGATGGGTGGAACAACATGAGCCAAGTTGACATTGGTCGACTTCACAGAAGCATGTCCGGCCAACAGAGGTGGTTTAACCGATATTAATGATCATGGCGTTTGCTACAAAATACAAATTAGTGCGTCACCATCTGATCACCCTAACCATTAGCACCCATTACATCTTATCACCTACTCCCAGTCGGATATTATTATATTATTTCCATTTGCCATTACCATATGGATCGAGCAGAAGATAGGTTTTGATGATTCCAACTATCTTCTACCTTTTTGGCATAGTATACATTAAACATACAACACATGAAATAGTTATCAAACATTATATCCGATATTAGCGTCTGTCTTATTATTATATTCTGGGAGCATTGCAGTGTCCCTATAACAACGACAGAAAGCTTTTTCAGTTTTGTGTCATCAAGATGTTTATTACGTCAGTTTACAAGGACACGTCCAAGGACATCACATCAGGAGACTATCGTGTCCAGCTGATCATTTATTCTGAAAAAGACAAAAACAAATGTCATTTTTACGAACTATGATGTTTAAGACAAATTGTCCTTTCAGATATAACAACAGACTTTAGTGAAAGATATGTCAAAACGTCAAACGCAAATAGTGTGACAACTATCAACAGATATTTGATAGCAACATAGATATAAAGCAGTGTGCGTCAATGCATAGAATCAAAGTTCTATTTTAAATATAATACTTTTAGAGTACTCTGGTTTAAATTGGAGAGACGAAATATTAATATGGAACGGAAACATGTGTTTGTTTGTTTGGTATACTTTGTATTTCTGGTGTCTGTTCCACTTTTATTCCCTTGGATTGTCCAACTGAAAGAGAAAATAAATTGTTCGAAAAACAGGTTGGAGAAAGGCACAAATTCAGGGCAAACACATTCTTCTGAAACCTGACCCCCATCTGTATCATTTTAGACCAAGAGACATCTATTTATCATTATCCGACTCAACTTCAGTTTCAACGTAACTCACAAACTATCTTCCTTGATTACCTTATCCCTATCCCCAATCTGAGCAGGCTGCAGCAAAAGCCATAACGTACTGCGCTGACCTAGTTGGATGCATAACATAATGCCTTAACCGACGTGAATCAACGGAATGGGACTTGGTTTGGCGTCACCATGGTCATAGTAAGGTCATGGCGGAGGAAGAGAAACAGCGGCCGCTTTGTTTAAATGCAGTGTTTTGCTGAGTGCGCTACACAGAGCAACACTTTGTATGTAGTTACAGGGATGACTGTTTTGAAATCAAGTCCAAACATGCAAGTTTGATATAAAACAACCCGCTGTTTCTGTCATTACATACGTTGGATCTCAATTATCTGCTTGAAGAAGGGTTCTTCATATCCATTTCCTTCTTCGTCCCCAGGTGCTGAAGGAAAATAATGAGGAAGTGTTTAAATGTTCTGGTTAAATCCTACTAAACGTACAGTATGTATATTACAAAAGTTACATATAGAGTTTACATTTTTATTAAGGAGTGCATTATAGTGTAATATTTATGAAATCTTCCATCATGATATAATATGTTTTAGAAGTATTGTTAGAAAGAACAAGCTATAGCTGTGATCACATGATACTTCCTTTCCTAAAGATATGGATATGTACGGATGTACTTAAGGGGGTGGGCTTTAAAAAATGACCAAAAAATACAATCTGGAGAAACATGATCTCCTGCCATGGTCGTAATTGATAAACAATTCATTCCCATGTTTAAAAGTGTCACTGGCCTATAAATTTCATCAAGACACTGTGTGCATATATAATCTTACAAACCTCCAGTGACATCAACCGAATGTTCTCTCTCTAGGGTAAAAACTCATCAACAGGCGTGTTCTAATATATCTGGGATTGTTTTCATACAATTTCCGTTCATATAGCAACATATGAGTGTTTATCGGTAGAAATTTATTTTGCATTTGAACACAATGTTGTGAACTGTAATATCAAATGACAAATGCTTTCTTTATATTCCCGAGAATCGAACACGCAACTTGTATTTGTAGCGCTGATAAATCACAATGCTTGTGTCTTTTTCAAGTTACTGTAGGCCAGTAGCAGATATTTTACGACCGTTTCCTAAGGTTCACAGAAAGTAACATAACATGTTGATAAATGCTATTTTAAGTTTCTTTGATCGAGTTATCAGTAAACTAAAATACCTAAGCTGGAACTTTTATCAGATTTAAAACCCTCATCATCGGGATAAAATCTCGTGACTGACGCCCTCGGTTTTATCCCTCCGATTCAGGTTGTAAAGCTCATAGACATACCTTATGTGTTTTATCCTACACATAAATAATTCGATGACATTTACAACAAAGAAAGTTTTATATCAACTTGTGCATCACGATATGTAGATAAATTCAAACTAAATACTAAGTCTCTCAATTAAAGTAAAAAAGCTTGCCTAGAAAATATTTTACTTGTCGGGACTTTATTTTTCGAAATGTGAAAACCGAGTGTAAAACATTGTATGTAGCCCGATTTCATTCTGAATGGATAACTTTTTTTTTTTAAATCGTAGGATGAAAAACAATTCTCAAACAAAAACCCCTGTTTTGTACAATTCTTTTCGTAAGAGTCACATTATAAGATGGGTTTTTTTACCCCCAGACTATTTGCCATGTGTACTTTCAAATAAAGAATTTATTTATAATAGTCTTGAATACCTTCAGAAAACCTCCTATCGATGTTTGAAATTGCCCAATCATCTCATAGAAATAAATTCCTCGGAAAATATTTTTAGCATTAAACAGTGCGACTAAGTTTGGTTTATTGCTTTTGTTTTACACAAAGTCTGATTCGTATCCTCATGGCCTCCACGGGTAGACTGTCAGGCACACACGACACTGACTGTAAATGGCCTTGTTCTTTGAATATTGAGAGGTCATGTCCACTTCTGCGACTACCGGGCGGTCGGGTAGCCTAGTGGTTAAAGCGTTCGCTCGTCACGCCAAAGACCCGGGTTCGAATCCCGACATGGGTACAATGTGTGAAGCCCATTTCTGGTGTCCCCCACCGTGATATTGCTGGAATATTGCTAAAAGCGGCGTAAAACCATACTCACTCACTCACTCATTCTGCGACTACCAATATCTGAACACTCAGCTGCTGCTTTCATTTCATCCAATGAATGAATTCCTAAGATGTATGTGATTGGCATGTACCTACCATCAGCGCGATTCCAATGCGTATATGCACTCCCTGTAAGGTAAAGACAAATATAAATAGTCTCTTCTGAAAATTAAAAGCATAAAAAGTAGTCATGTTTCTTTTCTCTTATGAAATTTCCATTGACAAATTATAAATGAACTTTCTTTACAAAAACATGAGTATTCTTTGAAGTTTTAATCATTTTTTGTAAAGATTTCATCTTAGCATTTTAAAATTGACTTTGCCTCTTAAAAATGTTTTAGTGTTTAGCATATACGCAGAATGGTCACCCTGTGATTTCTCCAAATCTTCATCCTCTGTTCCCTTAATATCTGAAAGTCATAATAATTAAACAGTGTCTCAGCTGAAAAGTAATTAAGAACAATGAATTTCATATTTTGTTAGTTTGCAACACTATATGAAGTCAATTCTTATAAATCCGTATTTTGAAGTTTAATGAATACATTTTTACTGTGACAATTTACGCTAGATTTACCAGCAACACTATCGATTGTTAATCAACAGGAGTTAATTGCAGTAATTTAACATCAGAAATGACTTTTTATAAACATGTTAGTTGTTGGAATTTTGTTGGATTCAACAGCTTTAAATTAAATAGAAGCAGTGTTCATTTGTTCATTTGTCCCCTTGAATTAATTTTCACACATTGGATGTGAAATTAATTATTGAACATCCGCTGACATCATGCTGTAACGTGGGTCCTAAATGTTAAGTAATCGTCGAATATTGCCGATCCTAACGAACGTGATAACGTGATAAGCAGGTAAGACCAGAGACAGTTGTTCCAGTCTGGGATTTCATATGAAGTAGTTCCGGTGAAAAATCACGTAAACGTCAAATTGTGACGTTTATACTTCATCACTTTTTAAAAGTTTCTTGAGAAATATACGGGTTTTGTGATCAGCAAATAAACCAATCACATGATCGGAAATCCCTTAAACGTCAAAATAAGAATTTATTTTATCTTACTTTTCTCTTTTATAAGTCACCATATATGCACATCAAATATTGACAATATAGTACTGTGATAGCAGACGCAAACACCATGATACCATTAGGTCATTTACATTTTTTTTTCATATCTGTGAAAAGGTCTCATGAATAACAGGAAAACATACTTTTATTCTTGATATAGCTATTTTAATGTGCCAGATACTGCTGATATATTGTACAATGCCATTCGTCAGAATAAATATTTCGCTTGTTTCAAAAATGCTTTCAATAATTGGTTGTAGATTTACTTACTGTCATTATCTTCTTTGCCAAACGCTGAAAGAGAGTAACATTAATTAATAGTGTGTCTCACAAAAATCGTAATGCGTTATGGATAGTCATAGAGTTCATGAATTCAGTAAATGTTCTCGATCTGAATACATGTGCATTTAGCACACAACCAGAGAGGAGTGAGTGAGTGAGTATGGTTTTACACTACTTTATATAGTACTGTATAAATATGCAAATCAAGACATCAAGTGGGGACTACTTTCAACAGTATTGCCTTTATGCAGTGCCCGATTGGGCAATAGCCTACTTACGTACGTTTCTAATACGTTTAGTTAGGGGTTTACGTACTGATGTGGGTTTCTCGAGACAAACATGGATGGAAATCATTTCCCACAATATGATAATATTGCAATTAACTCAGTCATTGATTTCATACGTGGTTTCTAAAATTAACCTTTTGAGCGAATCGTCGATTTTAGAATTACATGAAATGGTAGGAGATCATTACTCTTGTGTGTTTCCACAATGTAAATATCATATGTTATAGGAATAAAACAATTGATTTATTATTACACAATTCCTATTATAACAAATGTAGGTTAAAACGTGTACCAGACAAGGTTGACAACCTAATTCCGAAACTATCAGGTTTTAAACAGGATATCGTGTAATTGTTCCGGCAAATATTGTTACTTTCCTTCAGGAACACGATCGTAGCGCCGTGTTCGCACAACTTTGCAGCAGGAAGTCCATGATGACTGCTCAATTATGGAGCTGCCAATCCATGATCTGACGCTAACAAAACACTATGACATTGTTTAGTCACTTAGTTTCGTTTGTCAAAGGCATGAATGGAATAGTGGATATAGGGTCTGCCCTGAAAGCAGAAATCAGGTTGTTCGATCCCCTGGCTGCTTAAAACAAAAGGCGTGAAAAAATGGTACATGTATATGTAGGTCTTGTTACCCTGCGCTCAGCATTATTGGGACAAATCAGTATCATTGTGTCTGAGTGGTGTATATTAAACTGCAGCATGTCACCTCAGGTGTCTAACATTATAAGACCGGCATAAGTCTGGACTTGTACAAGCAGCAACACATACGTGCATGCACGTCGCTGTATAAGTGAAATAATCTTGAACACGACGTTAAACTCTATTTAATATCTCGAGCACAATTATCTTGTATTGGACGTGAAATCGGGAAACGGGTCTCTTTGCATGTCCTTTATTCCAATGCAGGCGGTTACCGTACCAAGACACAAAGTTTGTTCGAACTTTGACCCCACAGAAACTTGGACCAGTAAGCAACCTTTTGTTTGGGGCATTGTAACAGCTTTGCGAAAATTTATATTTGATTTTATATTCATTCTTACCTATTAGCATATTGTTGATCATTCTCCCAACTGAAAAAAAGAAAAAAGAAAACAGTGTTACCCAGTAATCAGCAATCTCTGATGTAGTTAGTGTATACCAATACCTTTCATCAAGTTAAAACTTGAAATCGACCCATGAAGATCCAGTGTAGAATAGGTATTCAGCAACCCATGTTTGCCGTAAAAAGTGACTATTCTTGTCGTGAGAGGCGACTAACGGGATCAGGTGGTCAGGCTCGCTGACTTGGTTGATGCCTGTCATCGATCCCAATTACGTGGATCATGATGTCTATCACTGGATGGTCTGGTCAAGACTCGATTATTTACTGACCGCCGTCATATGGCTGGAATATTGCTGAGTGCGGCGTTAAACAACAAACCAAACCAAAACCTAAAACTTGAAATCAGAACACCAAATATTCAAATTCAAAGCATAAAATAACAATGTTTCTACATATCACATTAATACAAGAAAAATAGTGATTGACTCTTCAAACGTGCTGCAAGTGCCAAGTAACAAGTGGCATTAACACCAGCTCCCCAGCGCCGCGAAAATTTGGCGTCTGATCGTCAGGCCAGCGTCTAGACGATCTGCCATTGGAAGTAAAAGGTAAAAAAAACAATAAGAAGTAGATGAATTGATAACTGAGAATCAGTGTTAAACCAAGCCACTAAATCTGAAACTCATATATTTGGGTGGAGTAGGGTTAGTTTCACTTTCAACAAATTAAGCGCATACATGAAAACTGTGTAATGATGAAATCTCGGAACTCTTTTCTTGGACTCCCCATTAACTGAAGGTGAAAAATTCAAAATATTTCAAACGTAAAAACATTTCATGGTCTGAGATTCTGCATCTCTTCTGAACGTTTCAAGAACCACTTGTCTTATATACGTTCTGAGAATAATTAATTAGGCCTTGCTTATTTGTTGTCAGAAATAGTGTTAGTAGTTTTGACGACTAGAAGGGTTTGGTGGTACATTTGCTGGAAGACGTATTACCTCGTGAGATCAGTGTATCTTTGTATTTATCGTAGTTTAAGGGTTGAAGACCGGAAGATGTGTATAACTGTATCACACTACAATTCAAAGTGTTTAGTAAAAATATATTCAAATTCCTTTTTTCCCGAAAAACAAAAACATTCTCATTCGAACAGAAAATAATCATGTCCCTGTTTTCATTGTAAAAGAAAGTTATTCATCATTAACATTTAGATGTCCAAAGAATACGTTTCGTTATTTTAGATACTTTTTAACAAATAACAATTGAGTAGCTTGGAAAAACATTTAGCTCCAGCAGTAGAAAAATGCTCTTTGCAAAACAAAATCCTGCCTGCATTTTGGAAATTGGACTTGTGTCGTGTTTTAATTATTGTTATGACTTCCATAACTTCTAGACTCGTATCTTGGCGAAGTGTATCATTACACCCTCATGCTGTGTTTTTTTGTTTGTTGTGTAACACCATACTCAGCAACATTAAAAAATCTATGAAGGTAAGCCCGTAAATAACTGAACATGGACCATAGAATGTAGTATTTGATAGTGTGCGAAACGATCCACGGGTCAGATCCATTTATCGCCTCTTGCACCATTCTAACGACTTAGTCTACACGATTACTTTGTGGCAATTTGGTGCAGTGTTTAGAAGACCTTTGATTACAAAACAAAAGAAGAAGTATTTGCCAATCCTTCCCGCCAGTTCGTACTCACTGTCAAAGTCATCTCTGAGTGGACATGCTGTAACTTTGAAAACTGAAATAAGAAAAAGAACAATTACACACTCCTTATGGTTACACCAAGGTGATAGTATTATCAACGAAATGAAATGAAACCTTCCCTACATTTGTTACAGTCGTCAATGAACGCATTGTGTGTTTAATTCAATGTAAAATATGAACATGTCTATAATAGTGGGTGAGTGAGTTGGTTTTAACGCCGCTTTTAACAGTATTCCAGTTATATCACGGCGTGTCAGCTTAATGTGGGAGGAAAGCCCCAAGTGATTTAGGCCTCAGACGTTTTCCACTTCGGTGAAACTGACGAGCACGTGTATGGTGCTGACAAACCTAGAAACATGATCGGGGTGAACTGGGATTCGAACCAACAATCTTAGGTTCCTGGCATGCCCAATGGACGCAACTCTGCACAGCGAATCACGGCGCCTTAGATGACAGGGCCACCCGTGCCCCCCATGTCTATAATAACTAGTTGAGTGTCGTCATCATGTCTGAAAGTACATACCATTTCTGAGCTCTTTAAGCGTAAAGCCTTTCCACACTGAAAGAATAACATAAGCTCAGTACACGTTATTATTAGCTGTCATTATTTTCAATGCAGGTTTGTGGTCACACAAGCATCTGTATTTAGAAGTGCCATGTGTAACCTGAAATTGTTATCTGAACTTGAGGCTGAAAGAGTGTGAAGGTAAATATATACTGTAATACGTGAAATTAATGCGTCCCAAAAAGAATGCGACCGCTGGCCCCTAGTCAAAAATGCGACTCAATATGAATGCGACACACCCTCCTCTCAAGCATCAGTGGATTTATATCTAAACAAAACGTCCTCTATCATGTTTACAGGAGAATCCTCACCTTAATCAAACCTTACATTAATCCAATCACACACAAATAGCACCGCTTATTAGCGCTGAGTAGAGTACTTCAGCTAACACAAAACGTGCGCGCTGGCTCGTGTCGGCCTTTGGTGTAGTCGGTGTTGGGTGGCTTCTGGCTGGTGTGATAAGTGATGACAAGAGTGAGTAGAACGCTTGTCTTCACCCCAGCAGTATCAATTTATAGGTGAGGTGAGGTGAAATGGGGTTTAACGTCGCGTCCAAGATTATTGCACTTATATAGCGACGTGCATGCACGTGTATGTGTGTGTGTGGCTGCTTGTACTAGTCCGGACTGATGCCGATTTATAGTGCTAGCTCACTGAGATACCATGCCGCAGTTTAACATGAATACCCCACTCAGACACAGTATACTGACTCCGAGCCGACCAGTCCTTGTTTTAGCCCCTTAATGCCGAGCGCCAGACAGGGTAACAACAAGTACAATCTTTTAACGTCTTTTTGTATGACGCGGCCCGGGATCGAACCCTGGACCTTCCGCTCTCCGGGCGGACGCTCTGCCACAAGACCACGGAGGCGGTCATCAATTTATAGGATGAATTTAGTGATTGAATGACATTGTTAATGTACTCATGCACAAGTGCTGCTCAATAAACATTGATGTGGAATACATAGTTGTTTGTTTTCAGCGTGTGTCTACGTTGGTATTTCTGCTATCCAAAATGTCTTATTGTTGATATAAATGCGATGTTTAATAATGCGAGCAAAGACCTCTCGCATTTTTCGCATTTAATTCACGCTCGCGTTAATTTCGCGTTTTACAGTAAGTATGCGTATTTGGTGAAAAGTTGAAAGTGTTACCTTGGGACATAACTAATATTGAACTCATACAGCCATTGTAGATACATACATCTATTATACAGAGGTTCATACTAAACAAATTCTATAGCTGTTTTGTTTTGTACCCACTTTCCAGTTGTTGATCCAATGGTAACTGAAGAAGATCTGAAACAATAAAAACAAAAAAGTTAACTTCACTAATGTATTTTCCTGCTCTTAATGTCAACGTAATGGGCGTGAAAATGTGTTGACCAGAGCATTAAGTTTGTTAGTTTGTTGTTTAACACCGCACTGGGCACTGTTCCGGCTATATGATGATATCTGTTAATAATCGAATCTGGATCAGGAACATCCAGTCATTGATATCATGACATTCGATACCATTGGGATACTATGACATTCATCAACCAAGTCAGCAAGGCTGACGACCTGATCCGGTTCGTCTCGTCTTTCGACAAGCATGGGTTGCTGAAGACGCGGAATCTTCACGGGACCCAGAGCATAAAGAAGCAGCTATGACGGTATGCAAAATTGAAAATATAACGTGACACGTAAGATATATACTCTCTCAAAAAAGAAACGCATATAACAATTTTAACTACAAATTTCTTTTTATTTTGACACACTGTGGACAAGTTAATAGCAAATGAAATTTGAAGAAATTTTACACAGAAAATGTCAAGGTATCACTGTTTAATAAGACATCGGAAAAAGGCAGTTTACACATTAACGTTTGATGGCGCTGAAGTCAGTACGACCACCATTGGCGTTCAGAACTGCGCGACATAGAACGAACTAGTCTCTAAATCTGATGTTGCTGCAATGTAGCCCACTCTGCCTGTAGTGCATGTACTAGTTGCTGGAGTGTCTGGGGCTGTGGGTTACGCTGTCGCACCCGCCTGTCCAGGACATCCCAAAGATGTTCTAGTCTGGTGATCTGGAGGGCCAGGGCAGCACATTGATTTCTCATTCTGGAGGAAGGCCCTCGTGACACGTGCCGAATGAGGTCTGGCGTTATCCTGCTGGAATAGCTCCCTCTGGCGGTTGATAATGGGAAGGAGGTGTGGACGAAGGACGTGATCGCAGTAGCGTTGCGCTGTCAGGTTGCCTTGCATCAACACCAACTCACTTCTTCCAGTGTGGGATATGGCACCCCACATCATCATGCTGCCCCTGCCGAATCTGTCAACCTGGGGGACTCAGGCGTCGGCAAAACGTCGTCTGTACACCCGCATTCTTCCATGGCATCGTTCCAACAGAAATCTCGATTCATCGCTGAACCAGATTTAACGCCAATTCACCAAATTCCAAGCCTGAACGTTTGTACACCATTGAACGCGACGCATAACGGGGCCAAAGTAGGTGCTTCTTGCTCTTAAACCTGTCTCTCGTAGTCTGTTCCTGACAGTCTGTGCAGATATCCTTCTCATTCCGGGTATTTGGCTAGTGGTAGTGGTCGCTGTAACTGTTCGCTGACGCAGGTGATGTACCTATCTTGCGCCGCAGTGGTGACTCGAGGACGTCCACTTCTAGGTCCATCTTCCTCCAAGTTCTGCTGCCGATATCTCTCCAAGAGACAAGATATCGTGCTTTGGTGAACATTCATTCGACAGGCCAACTGTAAGTTGAGGTGGTCCTGCTACCAGGAGACCTATGGCGATGTTACGATTGGCGCGGCTCAGTCTTGGCATTTTGTACTCTTCACAAACTTCCAAATAAAGTGAATGAAAAAAGATGGAGATCGATCTTTTATACTCATCCACGACACGATGTGATCCCCGAGTTTCCCGCGCATTGCACGTGCAATACGTGTTCGGTGACATTAAATGCGTCTATCGAAAATCATGCATTAACATACGGGATGTTCATGCGGGATTCGTTTGGATATGACGTTTTAAGACAAAAACACCAGAGAAATCATAAACAAAGCAAATATATTTGAAAAACCCACCCGGTACCAATACATTTCTGCATCAAATTACCATTTTCGTTATGCGTTTCTTTTATGAGAGAGTATATTTTTTACTGTATTTATTTAGGGTCACTTTCGTAAATTATGATTACTTTATCACAGCAGCTTGTAACCTTGGTAACCAGACCATTTTTCTACAAGCCTGGCTGCTGGGGCCTGTTCTATCCCGGAATCCACATAAGGATGAAAACATTGAATAACGGGACATCTCCTTCACTACCATTGTGGAATACACCTTGCAAACTGCTCCCCTTATTCAATAAGTACTCACCGTCAAAGGGCTTGAACTTTTTTTTCTGAGCTGAAAGAATTATAAACTGTCATTACAAACTGTCCCAATTCTTACCAAATAGCTCATACTTTTGCATGCTTACTGATTGCAGATGATCATTGTTTTATTACTAAAGTCAGTGTGAATGATTGGCGTTCTCACCTAATTTGGCTATAACTATCAAGATTGATAAAACGAAAGTGATTATTTTAAGAAATGATGATAAGTTAAGGAAGCAAGAAGCCTGGTGTGTTGGAGATAGACGGTTAATGATTTTACCATATAAAAATTATTCGAGATTTCCCTTCTCAAATATGTTTTCTTGGTCAAAAGCGGCTCCAAATATTGTTAAAAGGGCAGTTAAAGTATTGTCTTCAGATAAAATATTTGCAGTCAGACTTCTTAATATATCTCCGGGAGTTGTCATTTGATGTTTTGCAAATATGTATTGGATATAAATTATGAATGTACAAATATTGCCGTTTTAGCTGAAATTGGCAGCAAATATATGTTGGTTGATTAATCGTTAAATACTATTGTTAAATACCTGTATAAACTTTTGGAGTTCCCGGAGGTGGATATCAAAACATGTTATTCAATGTATATCATATTGGCAGGAATGCGTTGGTTTATCATGTTAAAATTATTCTGTTTAATTATGGGTTGGATTTGGGGAACAAGGGAGTTGGTAATAAAGCAGCTTTTCTAAAGGAAATTTACTCAAGCATAAACGATTGTCACTCGCATTCTGTCGTCTAAGACATTCAAAGTTGTCTTATCTCTTGATAGGTATTCCTTTTGTACTAAGACTTATCTGTTTAATGGCAAATCCAAAGAGTCAGTGTGCAAAATCTCCATATTACGACTTTAAAAAAACATACTGGAATACAGGAAGGAGTACCCAGACGAAGTCGGTTTTGAAATTTAGAGCTGGAATTCTAATGGCGATTTAGTTATATTATTACACAACTACCTCGCAACCGCCTGTGCACTTTTGTTAAAATATAACTTTTATTTGCCTTTGATGCAATCTTTGAAGCTTGCATATTTTGGTCTGGAGAAAAAGGAAGAAAAGTAATGTCAATTCGTGAGGATATAAGTCCTTGAATGAATGTCCAAACGGAGGCCTTATATTCATAACTACCCATTGCAAACATGTAACGTGCCATTTATGATAATATGTGTGTACTTACCAAAAAGGGTCTTCTTTATTTCTTCAGGATGTTTTCCCAGAAAACCTGCAATATTAAATGATAATGTTTCACATGATCGTTGGTGAGAATCATATATATATTTTTTACAGGGATAGTGTCACATCATGACAGACCTGTGCCCTGTTCTCCATTCTCCTGTAATAAAGATTTTTATGTTGCAGATAAAACAGATGACATCCATACCATGTCAACTTGCTGAATGAGTCACACTGTTGGGAGTTTTGACAAGGCGTCCGACCTCGAATGAGAAGGTCCATGTTTCTAATCTTGTTATTTGACTTGGCAATTTTATGGCTGCCACATTACGTAACATATAACAAAAGCACACATACTACTGCATATTCGCAACAGCTGAATTTATATGTTGTACCATCACCTACGCATGCCAAACATATATAGGACGCCACTGACATAGCTGCAGGGAAATATGTTCACTATCATTGTGCCAGTGAACATTGTGAAGCATGAGATAGCATGGAGGTATTGTAATCAAAATCGACAATTCTGGTGCTTCGTTAACTAAGCCTGTACATGCCCAAATATATTCAAAAAAGTTTTATGCAAATTTATTTGATAAATTTGTGAAAATACTGGTAAACGTTTATCATTTTATTTGTATGGGTTTGTGAAAATAACTTCAAACACATGGCCACATTGTCGAAGGGGCCCTTAACGACTATTGCCCTTACTGTAGGTACTTACTGAAATCTTCATTGGGAACCGGGAGGCCCCTATAGACTGAAGGAGAAATACACAACTTGTATACACTCTATAACAATCCGATGATATTATTATCATCAGAAAGAAATAAGTTCTTTTTATTCACCACCATCCATCCATTAAGCCACCTGTAGTTTAAGTAAGGATAAGAATTTATTGATAAACCACTTCTTTATTGCAATTAAGAGCGACTTTTCGATGTGGGTTATAACACCTTACTTACTTACTTACTTTGGAGATTTAACGTGCGCTTTCCGACTGATGCGTATTTCGCACACGGGCCCGGCCAGGCCATTTAATGTGTTTCCGAAAGGGGCGAAAGTGGTCTGTGCCCCTTTCGGAAACACATTAAATGGCCTGGCCGGTTATAACACCGTTATCAAGCAAGTGATATACAGAGTATGGTTGGCAAATAAATATACAAGTAGGAGGCAATGTTTATACAGTAGAGTAGATATTGTTATACTGGCGTAGAGAAGCCTGTTATGTACACACAAGGGTAGTGATGACAATCATCGGTGAAGTCAGTGACATAAACAAAGGATGAAAGTTGTTTATATTACTGGCTTCATCCTTTGTTTATGTTACTGACTTCACCGATGATTGTCAACACTATTTTTAATCACACAATTTTCAGAAGAATATGAATGCTGACACCTTCTTTAGTTGTCGGGACTAATGATTTCGAGCAGTAATTTTCAAGTAACATTTTCTAAGTCTGTTGGCATCACGCTCTCCGAGCAGATGTTTGTGTATCCTGCCCCACCGGTTTCATCCATCACAAACACATGCAAAAGCAAGTCAACTGTTCACATGAAAAAGCTCGGGCACGTTAGGTACACGTCAAAATAGGGAATTGCATCGGACAAAGATTTTGTGTCTGATGCGCGAATTTGAAAATATCCTCCAGGTGTCTTGCCCGTAAACGATGAAAGTTTTACAGGAGCCTTAAATGTTGTAACTTGGATCAAACAACTTCTTAGCAAGAGTTGAAATTGGGTTTAACGTCGCGTCCAAGATTATTGCACTTATATAGCGACGTGCATGCACGTGTATGTGTGTGGCTGCTTGTACTAGTCCGGACTGATGCCGATTTATAGTGCTAGCACACTGAGATACCATGCTGCAGTTTAACATGAATACCCCACTCAGACACAGTATACTGACTCCGAGCCGACCAGTCCTTGTTTTAGCCCCTAATGCCGAGCGCCAGACAGGGTAACAACAAGTACCATCTTTTAACGTCTTTTGGTATGACGCGGCTGGGGATCGAACCCCGGACCTTCCGCTCTCCGGGCGGACGCTCTACAACTAGACCACGGAGGCGGTTCTTAGCAAGAGCAAGGTCACATCCGGCAATAGTCAACTATGTATGTCATGCCGGCTACTTAACATTCAGAATTACCAATGAACACCAGCAATCTATTTAGGATTTCCCTTCCAATTTAGACGATATTTTCAAATAGCAATGTGGTGTCTGCACGGGACAATTCATACATCACAGATGAACGTGTTCTTTTTCCAACATTTCAAATGACTATCTTATAACACTTACGTTGTAGAATGCTCGTCTTGTTGAAATAGTCATAAACTGAAACAGGTCAACAAATGCTATCAACAATACAATGACATTGAATCCTTTAGGCATTGGAATTAGTTCACATGTTTCGAATATAATTATTCATACACTTTGGGTTTTTTGCACAAGTTCCTTAAATGATTACCCGGGGCTCATTCTTACTGGACCTATACATGTGATATGGATGAGATTGGTTTGCAATTCGTAGTTCATACAATCAAACAAAATGTATTCAGTCCAAGCAAGGCTCGCATAAGTTAAAGTATTTCCAAATGTTCTTTGTGTAATTACTGTATTACAGCGATCTGAGTATTCAAAGTGAATGTATTTTGTGTGTAATACACTATGCATTGTCACATATGCTGATTATTCCATCCATAATGTACTTTTCTTTTCGAGAAAGAAAGTAAAAAAGGATATTGTGTGTAAAATGTCAACCCCAAAAATGTAGTACTTTGACGACTTACTGTATTTAGTGTAAGTAGTGTCTATTTATAGTGTAAATTAGAAATGGGAAATTACCAATCAGTGAATTGTTACGTTACATCACAGTATATATATAACTATTGACATTTTTCACACTTCGCTACTTCCGAATAGAAAGCAAGGCTTTGAGTGCTGAAGGTGAAGGCTGGATAACCCGCGATACATATGGTGATTTCAACAAGTCACGCAATCGGGACAAACTGGGACAATAAGACCATTTTGGTACTGTCACGGCAACATTTCTCGTAAATATTGATCATTATCCTTATTCCTATCCTTTACCAACTATTCTACTGTCAGATGGTCTCCTTACTGATAAACATTTAGCAAGTGAGTGACCGTTATGTTTGATTTCAATTTCAAATATCCATGACCACCTGGTAACTACCAGTGCAGTTTATTTATAGTAGCTGCACACAGACTTAGTACATAACCTACAGGCGTGTGTAAATAATCATTTATTAGACGCCATTCACCCAAACTGTGTATATATTTGTCAAATATTTGTATTTTAGTCAAAGTAAACGTTTGAATAATTTTGCGATTGTATTTGAAGTCAACTGGGTCTTTGGCCAGTAGAAAATATTGACCTTATCTAGATAGATAAAAGAAACTAAATTGCTATGTTGATCTTATTTATCTTATTGTAACCTATTGAGAATTTACATTCATAAACGAATCAGAATTGTATATTAGTTGTGTATTCAATGTAAAACTCAAATACATTACAATAAAATGGTGGACCTCTACAACTACGTGTGTTGCTGTGATTGTGAACAGTAGTCGTTTTAATTGTCAATGTTGTCAGATTAGATAACATGAGGTGTAACATTTCTGCTGAATTATTACATGAAGGGTGTGGATATATTTAAACTAAGTAGTTTGTTCTGTAATATTTTTACCAAAATGATATTTACTTTTCTGTACCAAAAGAATTATGTCATAAAATAATCAAAGAAATCAAAATTTGAGATTACTATGAAAAGAAATCTTTTTGAATGTTGTTTGATTCCAATGGATATTACAATCACAACCCATATGTTTTTATGTACACAAACATAATTTGAATGTTTTTAAACAAAATAAGTTCTTTTACACATGCAAATGCTTTGAGATATATTATTGATGAATAATCATGTTAATTTATATATTTGATGATAGATTTCTTTATATCAGAAGAATATAGTTTTCTGAATACGAAATATTTTGAGAGAAGATGTATATTTATTTTTTATTTTAAAAAAATCATCGAAGAAGAAATATTATTTCAATATCATTACAGTATTTATTTAAGGCTTTAAGTTAAGAGTGTAAACTTAATATATATCTACACCAGACTAGTAAAATTTATTCTTGTCACTCTGAACTGATTTTTTACAAATATACCGACCCAGATTTTTACCAATCTATTAACATGGTTTCAATTGTCATTCTGAAATCAAACAAATAATCAATTATTGTCCTGCTACGACTATTAGCAACAGCCAATATATATTTGCTTTAAATTTGATAAATGACACATTCTGAATATTTATTTTGACACACAAGTTAGTTTGTAAACTATTGTCATTTACAATGTACATTGTTATACGTTTGGATGAAAATCATAGCAGAAAAGGTGTCTTATGTCAACGGAACTCTTGGCAAAACGATAGTGCGTGGTGCAGTCAACACCACTAGGCCCCTATAACTCGTGAAATAAACATGACGATCTCGAGGTCGCCAAGCCACTCGTTGGCTGAGCAAATTAGCACAATACACGGACGAGTTTCATGTTATATCAGTTGATTTTCCAGTGTATTACAGGCATATTTTAATTGGACATCAGCATTAAATATGTAATATCTTCTGTATTAGACAAAGAGAACATTTTGAAATGTCCTTCATTGATACACGGTCACACTTGCTCTCTATTCCCGATCAGCTGATGCGCCTAACTCTGCATAGATCTGGGCTCTCATAGCCTCGTTTTCGATCCAAGATGGCGCAAGTGTGAAAAAAAGGTCAATTGGAATGTTGTACGAGTATCTCAGATACTTTTCGTTGGTGTGTACTTACGTTCCACTCGTTCTTTGCCTGTTAACGTTTGCAGAACTAAAATGATAACATGAGCGTCTCTTTAAACAGATCTATACGTGTGCACTGATAATAAAATCACCATCGAAAGTATGAAGTACTTAGAAGTAAAGACGAAGCATTACATTTAGGGTCAAAGACACATGAAAGAGACAGTTACTTGAACAAGGACTAAATGCACATTTGGCACATGAATCAGTACACCACAGCAACTACTGATGAATAATAGTGGGGTAATACTTGCAAGTAAACATATTAGGCGATATTCAGGCACTTAGCATGGTACATCCATCTTATTGTTATATGCTTACACTTGTCTACTTGTCCAGGCCTGTCTTCTGAAAGAAGGGAAAATAAAAATATGTAAATGTTATCCCAAACATTAATGCATATAACATGGTCACGTATTGTGGTTTGTGAGTTTGGTATAACGCCACATGTTTAGTGATGGCACTTCAGTTTAATGTGTGTTTGATTGTTGTTTAGGGTCGCACTCAGCAATATTCCTCTGTACCAGGGTGTCATTGAACAAAACAACCTCAGCTTTACGACTGTCGTAAGTCTATGTTAAAGTTTGGGAGTTACGATCACCTTAGCATTACGGTCGCTTTGTACAACGGCATCCATATGATCTGCACTATTACAGCGTTCCTTTACATTTACATTTGTTGGGGTACGCGTGGTTCAGGCGCCTAAGATATGTTCATGGTTGATTTCCATTGGTGTGTCATGAGCAGATCGTTGGTTAACATCCAAATTTAGCACTGAAATAATTGGTTAGATGGCACCATACACAAGCTCGTAGGTTTTAGCAATGGTGTAAAGATTTGTTTTATCACAGAGTTTCATCTCGAATTAAACGGACATGCAATCGTATGACTGGAAAACTGTTTAAAGTAGCCTCAAAACCAACTCACTCGCCCACTTACTCTTGTCAACTCACCTTACAGTATGCCAGTTAACAAACGCCACCTGTTACTGAAATAAACTATTTCATATTTTTTGCATTCCAAGTAAGATCACCCATGTAGATGTATAGTGTAATGTGTCATATATATTAGCTGAATTGGTCACGTGTTATTGCATTCATTTCCCAATGAATGTAAAAAAAAATAAGCCGCGTCCACCAAAGTGGACTACTTTTATTACTTCTGAATGTCGGGGAATCCAATATTACAGTCGAGGGAATTCCCTCACGTGTATCGTCATGCACAGGACATTTAGCGAAATTCATGCATCTTCATTTTCCAAACAACCCTTTGGGACCGAAGGCCGAGAATGAATGAAACGGCAAGCATGAAGGCTCGCACAACTGATTTGTTTTTGCCGCTCGCAACTGTCTTTGGGTTTTCTTTCTAACTGGGATTTTTCCAACTGTATCTCAACGTTCTCAGTGAATGAATGTTCGACTCTGGCGACAACTGTCCATGTCATTTGAAACTGACGCCTTCTCCCGGACATATTTGTTCCGGTTCGTTCCTGTCTGACTGTTGCGGGGCGGTCGGGTACCCTAGTGGTTTAAGCGTTCGCTCGTCACGCCGACATCCCGGGTTCGATTCCCGACATGGGTACAATGTGTGAAGCCCATTTCTGGTGTCCCCCGCCGTGATATTGCTGGAATATTGCTAATCTATTGTGAATCTTATTTTCCATTTCTAGTATAGGTAAGGAACATTAACACATATATTGATTGTTCTGACTTAAAAAAATTAAACACAATTTATGTACATATCCTATCTTAAAACTAATAAAAGTAAATGTCTTACTGACAGTTCAAAATAAAGCTTAGTGTGTACACTCTTACATACTCTCGGGTTTTGTATAATATTGCTAATTTATTGTGATGACAATCCTTTTGATTAGATTGGTTTTGAGAAAAATCTTGCAACCCGAATATGATGATACATACCATATCTGATCAAGTCACCTTGACAGGATCCAACTGAAACAAGTTAAATTCATAGGTTGTAACTCAAACATATGTTTTGACAATATTTCTCAGGTAGCAAGAACCTAGTTTGTTCATTTCATCGGATGGAACTAAAACAGATTTGGTCCATCGAATGTATCTAACAAATGTTAAACTCATGGGATGTAACTAGAACATGTATATGTCATTGAAACTAGTGATGTATTAAGAGTAAAATTCCATAAAAAAAATTCAACAATTATTAAGTGATATCTTACGGTACACACCTTTTTCTCTATCCTCGACAGGTAACCTTTCGAAATCTGTAATACACAAAACATGCATTACAATTATTGCCTTGAAATGAACTGAGTTTGAAATTTAAGGAGTGATTCTTTTCTCCTCAAGCAAATAATGAATAGTTTGGGGGTGATTCCCTTAAGTTATTAAAATACTTTACACTTGCCTGTTTTCATCATTTATATAGTTTCACATGTTGAAAGCAAATCCTTATTTCTTTTAAAAATGTTCCTCCTTAAACTTAAATTAAACAGCTATTTGTATAAAGGTTCGATACGTCGTGACATCATTACACACGAAACATATTCCATTTTTAACTAATGTACAGATTTCAAAATATTTTACGTATATCACGTTTGTAAAAGATGCTGTAGAGATCAATCGAAGATATCAAGACAGGTTTGAATAGTTGGGCCTATCAGCAGCAGCATCTTTGTTAATACCTACATTCTGCCATGCGCCTGGCTGGCATCAGCTCACAAACTGGAAAAACCAAAAGCAAAGAATGTTTTTTTTAATAAAAACTCATACAAACTCTGATCATATATAGGTGTGTGCAACATATATCCGAGTATGTTTTCATATTGTACAAATATATTATGAATAGAAATGGTATAATACAAGACTTTGGTAAACAAACCACATATTGTTTATTCGAGATATACGATACTGTCGATACGAAAACATATCATGCTTAATCTCTTAATCATATACATGTAATGTCATTCTTAAACTCGTCTGCATCAACGACATATTTTCATTCCGTAAAGTAACTTCGGAAACGATGTTAACCGGCCAATGTTTCTTTTCATATTGTGCCAAATTCGCTGCAGCAATGTTTGTTTGCATTCACACACAGGGATAACTCTATCAAAGTTTTTTTATGTGTTAATCAATAATTTGTCAAGCACGTAGACATCACATCGATGTATAGAGCTTACTAGTTTCCAGTCATTATGTGATAACGCTTAGTATTGAATAAAAAACTATTTGTTACTTAGTATTAAGGGTATGTATCATTGCAAAGCGTGATTCGTGTTAAAAAACGTTCAATGAAATAGTACATACGCTTCTTGCGATCCTCCAACGGAACTTGTTCAAGAACTGCAAAATGAAACCAAACTCATAAGATCGGGACCTGTTGACCTTTTTTTGTTTCTTTCTCAATCAAAGCATTTATTAGCGTCACTACGATATAATTTTGTAAAAGTTCATTATAATGTAATGTGTTCAGTTGTAAAACGTTAAATTTGTACTATTTCCACAGATCACACATCGATCCATTGTACAAACAAAGTAGGTGTTCTATGACCACGAATGTGGTTCCCTGCAACATAGTGTTCACACAGAGAGTGTATTTTGTGTAAATACCTCTGTTTATATGCCCCTTGATGCAACTAGTCCTCTGACTTGGCAGCAATTTCATAATGGCATATAACAGTACGACGTTCCACTGTCGAATATGGGGTGGCTCCATACACGCGGGGCCCAAGTTGTTTGCATTGCATGTGTTGGTTGTCGTAGCATGAACAAAGGCTCAACTGTGTATATGTACATTTCAGTGGGTGCAGTAATTCATTTGACATATTGTGAGACACTGAAAATGCATAATCCCATCATACTAGGGGTGGGTGGGGATGGTGTGCTCTAGTCCATCTCCAAACAAGTAAGAATGTAGATATTTACCTTTTAAAATATCCTCGACATCGATATCAAGGAGAACTGAAAAGAAGAAAGACACATTTCATATGTTTTACAACAGCAAAATGCAAAGTCATAGCAGTTTCTCTCATTTCAACTATATGCATTATATTCATTTCACGCAGACACTGTCTGTAGCTTCTGGTATATTATGCATGTCATGATTAGACGATTGTGTCCGGAAGACAAATACGAGTGTAACATTTGAAGGATAAAGTGGTAGGTTTTTATACATTTATATATACAAATATAAAATAAATATCGAGTATACTGCCTGAACGTACCTTTAACAAAGTCGTCAGTGGGAACAGCCTCCTTGACTAAACAAACAAACAAACACAATTCCTTGAAATATTGTGTCATTATAATGTTGGTTCAATGTGTCGGCCTTTTCACAGCATTAAATACGAGTTTCTGTTTTTATTCAGTCGAGGAAACCAAGCAAGATGACTAGACATAGACACATTGTGTCAAAAGCACAATGTGTCTTGAAAGAAACTGTTTGTATATTTTTAATTATTCACCTTGTCAAACTAACTAGTAACTTCCCTGCATCAGGAAGAGAATTTATGGATGACACCTTCTTTATTAAGAGGACCACAATGTTTCGGAGTGTATACTTACTCCTTCATCAGGTGAACGAATGCTATGAGGCAGAGGGCATATATATGTAAGAACAGCAAAAGTAATATGATTACAAAAGGTGGAAACTTAACAAGGGAAGCCGACATAATACTGGCACTGATAGGTGATTAGCAAAAGACAGTGGAAGCCAACATTTTACAGCAATTAGCACTGATAGTTGATATTTATGGACAACTGGAAGCCAGGACTTCAATTGTCCCTGAGTGGTAATTGACAATGGAAATGATGACGGGGTTTTTCGCACTGGTAGATAAATTAATAGAAATAGCAATGATAAAGATAAAAAAACAATGTGACCCTGGCACAGTCAGGCTGGTTAGGCTAAGCACCAGCTTGGGGCCCTTGTCCCCCCAACACGCAACCCAGACAGTGAATGGGACTTCACACAGTGCGCACTGCTTAGTCAACCCCACCTAGAATGTTTCAGAGAATGTGAAGACTCCTCAACACTGAAGCCTTTTGCTTTACCCAGAAGGGCTGCATTCCTGGTAGCAAACCCGGGATAAAAGCGTGACATTTCAAAAGCAGGGTCTGTATATAAGCATTTCCTGAATCTTGTCAATGACATTAGTGCAAAAAGGGACAGAAAATTCAATAATATATATGATTTCATTGGATTTATCAAAAAGGACAAATTCAGGTTTGTTGGCCTGGACACGTGTGAAGCCGTAAACGGGCCTATTCCAAAGGATTTTGAATTGATCATTTTCCATAACACCCTCTACACATTCTGCGTCGTACAACAGCAAACATGGCGAAGACGGTAATGAAATGATCGAGTCTCTCCAGCATGTCACTTAAGATACTGTGTTTGTGCCAAAGCTTGGCATCCACTGACAATATGTTGGATAGTCTCATTACATAATCTACATTTCAAATTTACATTTTGATGCAAAATCACCCATTGACGGTGTCGAGTGGAAAGTAACTGGTCCTGAGCAGAAGACAGAAAGCCTTCTGTTTCACTTTTCAGGCCATCCGACACACTGCACATAAACCCGATGCAGTACTAGTGGTCGTTCAGAGAGCCTCTCCTAGAAGACCTGAGTCTTGGCCGATTTGATGTGGCACTTCGCTTGGTTGACACTCATTTTTGCACCATCCAGTAGTACAGAACCATCAAAAATCAACACTGACATTGAGATTATGTCCAACATCCATGGCTCGTTTAAGAAAACTTTGCAATGTCTTGTTTTCATCATGAGTCTTGATATGCTTCACAAGATTATCATCAGACAAATAAATGTGTGCAAAAGTGCACAAAACATTTCTATCATGAAGAGCCCCAACATTAATCAAAACACGCCCTCCCATCAATATTGGTAAATATAAGAAATTTGGGGAAGATTGAGGGTGGTGGAATCTATTGTCGGACCTGATTCTTCGTGTGAGGGTGTCATTACCCTGAATTTCTTGTTTCGCCCAATCAAGAACACCAAGAGAATACGACAGGACTGGTACAGCATAAGTATTTGTGGCTTTAACTTCATTGCATTCGTTCGGCTCTAAACTCAAGATTTTCTTAAGTCAACATTTGTACTCTGCCCGAAGGTTTTTTTCTTGATATAGGCCTTCTGGACTGTCTATTATTATTATTATTATTATTATTATGAAGTTGAGATCCATAAATGCTCTTCCTTATGTGTAGCACTCCTAAAATACTTTCAAAGACTTTATGCTGCATAAATACATTAGGCAATCTGGCGTCAGTTAATCTGGTAATTATATGATTTCAAACAGACTTAAGGCTGACATGTAATGAAAAACATTATTTTCCTAATGTCACAGATTCTTCGTGAACAACGTGTTCTTTATCAACACAACGACTCCTTATTTTGTTACTTACTTTTTGTTTGAAGACTTTCCTTCATATCAAGGAGCGCTGAAACAATTTCATGTAATGTAGTCACTGCTCAGAATTTCCAAGCACGTGACACGCCATAACTGACGTAATGAAATATTGAAATATTCATCGACCTAAATATTCATGTCTGAAAGCTATTTTGTTTTAATAATTCTTGACACTGGACTATTACTGCCTATCTTGGAATGATATTGATTCTCTAATTATACAGCAGTGTCCACATGTTGATCGAAATAATGCATTTATGATCGCTATCGAGCACGTGAACATGATTTAAATCCTGCTAGGGGAGGAGAGTGGTCGTTTCTCTTTTCACGTCTTTCAGTTTGACTCACTCAGGATATAGTTGTCATTGTGTCCTCAGCAATATGAAAGGAATTGCCTAAGTCCGTGATAATATTGCGCATGAAAGTTGGCTATGAATAGATAGTTTTACTTCGCAGTAAACCACTTATGTGCAACAAAATGAAACGGTTCTTGGGTAACTGTTACATTAAAAAAGTGTCCATTGACATCTTACTTTTGCGTCGTATTTTCATGTGATAATTCATATTATAATTTTTAAAAATCTGACGTGTACGACACGAGTTTCTTTGTGACATGTTTCTGAGACAGTAAAACAGGTTTTCCCTTTCAAATGTTAAGAAATGTTTCAATCCTTACCATCTTAATAACTATGTGTGCGAAAAGTTCCTAAATTGGTCGATAGTATGTGCATGAGCAAGGTTAATATAACTATATTGGGTCAGCACATTTGCCTGTTGATTCATTTTTTTAAATGAAGATAGATATCTTTTTTAAAACTACAGTTACTTCACATAAATATTAAGCATTTCTTATTTTGCAACATAAAGTACAGAAATTAACGTATTATATAGAACTAGATGTGCTTAATGAAGAAGAATTGGTGTCTGGAATATGTGATGAAGTGATAAAACCAATAACAAATGCTCACATGGAAATTTGCTTACAAATTAAATATTACATGTGTATTGCATTTTACAAAATATTGACCGGGTTTGCAAAACAAAGTTTCTGATCACATATGCATCCTTTAATACGAGAAAAAAATATGGATCACGTGTGCTGAGAACAAGTAATGTCGTTCTGATTACAAACCATACCCTAAAATTTAAATGAGAACTAAAATCCTGATATCGTACAGATATGTCATGTATGAGATTCATTTCTAAACTGATTACCATAGCATAATGTATGTCGCTTCAAAAGAATTCAAAATAGTTAACATACATGTTTCCTCGGCATCTGCAGCTACGGTTCCAAAAACTGAAACGAAAATAAATATATATATATATATATTTTATTTGTACCTTCCGATCAAAGCATTTCTAATTGAACTATTTCTATTACCATTGCATACTGCTTGCATAAACCACTTTTCCGTTTGATTAGAGTTACATCATTTACGGCCTTAAGCTTTCAAAACATTTCCAAATTATCGCATCTGTGACCAAATGATGTCTGATGAAATTTGTATCATATTCTAGTTTATTACTTGCCCTTGAAGAGATCATCAGTTTAATAAACATGCTTTATTTGCACATTGGGTAATACCAATGCTGCTTATGTACTGTGGGATCAATTTTCACGACCAAAATTGAACGCTCTCAACATGTCCCTGGCTTATTCAAGGACATTGCGTGTTGAGATGACAGATCACTGAGAGGAGCCAATGCAAATTCGATGACCCCAGCAACCTGTTGCTAGGCTGACGTCACATGGCATTGTTTCGCCGGTGGATATGGCAACAAAATTCCACAAATAATACTTAACTCGCTCCCCTGTAATACCAATTTTATGAAACTTGTGAATTGTTCTAGTACCTGAATCGCTTTCGCTCGTCAGAAACCAAACCAGAGGACCCGTGAAGACCCTGGGTAGACTAGATCTTCAGCAAATCATGCTTGCCGCAAATGGCGACTATGCTTGTCGTAAGAGGCGACTCACGGGATCGGGTGGTCAGGCTCGCTGACTTGGTTGATGCGTGTCATCGTTTTCCAATTGCGAGGATCGATGCTCATGATATCAATCACTGGATTGTCTGGTCCAGACTTGATTATTTACAGACCGCCGTCACATAGCTGGAATATTGCTGAGTGCGGCGTTAAACAACAAACAAACAAAAGATAGATAGAGCAATTCACGAGTTTCATAAAATTGGTATGACACGGGAGTTCGCTTTGCATTCAAAAGATAGCTTGTGCGATCTGTTCACGAGTTTGTGAGTTTGGGGTAGAATTGGAGACTAATTAACAGATATTTTACAATGACTTGTTCCAGTTCAAGAGACACCATTAGCTGCTCAAAATCATGTACAAGAGCTTTTGTTAAATATCTGGGTTTTTTGCGACGTAGTCTCTACATGGAATGGAAAACATCACTTCAGATAACAGATATGTAGACTGACATAAAGATTCTTATTTCTGACAAAGGTCATTTATATGTTGTGTTTGCGAACATCTGGTGTCACTACTGATTTTATGAAACTCGTGAATTGCTCTTGTATCTTTTGTTTGTTTGCTTTTTAACGCCGCACTCAGCAATATTCCAGCTATGTGACGGCGGTCTGTAAATAATCAAGTCTGGACCAGACAATTCATATTATGTTCACCGCTATTTTATTTTTTGGCGCAGAATGGAATCTGTTTCGGCAGATGGTTATTCTCTGGTGTTGACGATTAAAATATATTTTTACCTAAAAAAATAGATTGATTAAAAGATATAAAATTAGATTCTCATATGGATTATTTCTTTTATGGCAAATGTATGTAGACACTATCACAGTTTAAACCAAAAAACTATTGTTTCATCACAGAATGTGTATATTGTTTTCTTTCCTTAAACGATAGCTTTTACTGTCCAATATCATATCATGAGTAAAAGAATTATAAAACTACTGTTTGTATGAAACGTATTTACATAAATAGGGAAAATCGATTTTTTTCTCTCATAGGATACAATGTAATTGTTCGAAACTGCAGCATTTAAGCATAACATTGTGAATGTTATTTTTCATATATAAGAAAGCTATGCACTATATCGCAAAGAACAACGAAGAACGATGCGCGGTTTGTTTCACGATAACACATTGTTTTATCATGGCATAATTTCTGGAGATTAGAATACCCGCTCGCAATTTGATGACGTCATATATTGGACGACGTTATTGTTTAGAAGGAAGTGTCTAGTAAGTTGTTCCCCATAGATGTAGCTGGGCTACACAGATAAACGCAGTGGCCGAACGATTGCAACCAAGTGGAAGAGATATCGGTATTGGGGGAAAAAATATAATCGACGTGAGAATTGTGAAACATGTGGGACATAGCAAACCCACCTGTTCGTAAGATGGACTGCACCCCTCATGGTTTATTCTCCCTGCAGTAATTTATTGTACGATAAACAACGGCAACGAGTCGTTTATTTCATATATTTGATATCAATACCACATACAGCCTCCTCATGGCTGTTCATTTAAAGTACAAGCTTTACAAATATTTACCCAAATTTTAAAAATGACTACTGCCTGAATAGAATACGACCTCGGAAATGTCGGACAAGTCCATCTTACGAACAGGTGGGTTAAGTGTAACAAATGTTATATTTGGGATAACACTTCCTGAGTAAAGTACAGATTCTCGTACTTTTTGGTTTGAGTCCCGTCCGTAACACTTGTTACATTTGACCACTTTCGAAATGTCAATTTGTGTCCATAGGTGGGTTAAGCTTGGTATTTCCCGCATATTCTCACCTCGATTATCTGTACCTTTTCCCACATCGCACATCGTATACTGTATATCGCACATCGTATACTGTATATCGCACATCGTATACTGTATATCGCACATCGTATACTGTATATCGCACATCTAATACTGTATATCGCACATCGTATACTGTATATCGCACATCGTATACTGTATATCGCACATCTTATACTGTATATCGCACATCGTATACTGTATATCGCACATCGTATACTGTATATCGCACATCTTATACTGTATATCGCACATCGTATACTGTATATCGCACATCTTACACTGTATATCGCACATCGTATACTGTATATCGCACATCGTATACTGTATATCGGACATCGTATACTGTATATCGCACATCGTATACTGTATATCGCACATCGTATACTATATATTGCACATCGTATACTGTATATCGCAAATCTTATACTGTATATCGCACATCGTATACTGTATATCGCACATCGTATACTGTATATCGCACATCGTATACTGTATATCGCACATCGTATACTGTATATCGCACATCGTATACTGTATATCGCACATCCTATACTGTATATCGCACATCGTATACTGTATATCGCACATCGTATACTGTATATCGCACATCTTATACTGTATATCGCACATCTTATACTGTATATCGCACATCGTATACTGTATATCGCACATCTTATACTGTATATCGCACATCTTATACTGTATATCGCACATCATATACTGTACATCGCACATCGTATACTGTATATCGCACATCGTATACTGTATATCACACATCGTATACTGTATATCGCACATCGTATACTGTATATCGCACATCGTATACTGTATATCGCACATCGTATACTGTATATCACACATCGTATACTGTATATCGCACATCTTAACTGTATATCGCACATCGTATACTGTATATCGCACATCGTATACTGTATATCGCACATCCTATACTGTATATCGCACATCGTATACTGTATATCGCACATCGTATACTGTATATCGCACATCTTATACTGTATATCGCACATCTTATACTGTATATCGCACATCGTATACTGTATATCGCACATCTTATACTGTATATCGCACATCTTATACTGTATATCGCACATCATAAACTGTACATCGCACATCGTATACTGTATATCGCACATCGTATACTGTATATCACACATCGTATACTGTATATCGCACATCGTATACTGTATATCGCACATCGTATACTGTATATCGCACATCGTATACTGTATATCACACATCGTATACTGTATATCGCACATCTTAACTGTATATCGCACATCGTATACTGTATATCGCACATCGTATACTGTATATCGCACATCATATACTGTATATCGCACATCGTATACTGTATATCGCACACTTAAACAATCGCAGGAATTTTACTTAAGAAATAGACGACGAATGGGAGTTGTATATCGTACAATAAAATACTGCAGGGAGAATAAACAATTCGGAGCTGAGTTTTGTTGTACAAGAAACGACTCCCACTCGTCATTTCTGATGTATGGGATTTTTATGTGACTGATACCTATACAGCCTACATGTCTCATCTTATATCTGTTCAGGATATATTATTACATAATCAATAACGGATGGTAAAGCTGTAAATTCTGTCTTACAAATAAAGTTTGTGGTTAATATGACAGAAAACTAGGTTGGATTAATATCAACCAATACAGCTATGTCGCTTTTCTCGACGCCCTTAAAGATGCTATTTAACAAGCGATTAAAAATGAAAGATAAAGTATTATATTGTCATTATATGTCATATTCGTTTGATTGACTAATGCAACAATAATACCACATAAACAATTGAAAGACATGAGCCAATTACCTTTACATAATCAGGTGAATTTGGGAATATCAGGGCTAAATTACATGGAAGATAATGTCATCCATTTTGCCCTAGATAACATTATTCCTTATTAAGTACCATTTTATTGTTTTACGATTTGTGATGATACTATTTAAAGACTTCATAATTTCCATATTTATTTTGTTTGAGTGTTAAACAATTCTTAAAATATCTCCCCTGATCTTTTGATTTTGAAGTCATAGAGGAATCTCTCTCTTCATCATAAATAGTAAGATACATTTCGTATCAATGTGTTACGTCATACATAGTCTTATAACTTTGTTCTAGATATCAATATGCAGATATAAGGCTGTTCGATCACAGTTTACATGAAGCTGTCGAGCAAACCATTATGTCGCACAATACATTCATTCATATACAATAGCGACTGTGCTACCTTTTTACGCAAAATAAAAACGCGGACAACACTAAGCCCTGTCTGATATTTAAATCATTTTTATATTTGCAAATATGTGTGCACCCTCAGATAGGATAGATATAATTACGACCACACGTTAGTTCATAAATCTATAATAATCTATCATAAATACAATCTCCAAAATATATAAAATACTAGCCCCAACATAGATAAAATACAATCTCCAACAAACGTGAAATACAATCCCCAACATACATGACATACAATCCCCAAAATACATATACTTTATATATTCATGAAAACTTACGAAACTTGTACATAATTAAATATACATCTTCAAACTATTATTTTCAATTGTTAACCGAATCGGAATCTGTGCTTTTCACTCATACGTATGTACAATATTCATAACCTCATCATTATGACATACCATAATAAATGCGTATTTATACTGACTAGTATCCATCAATTAAAACATGACCATGGCACGACACAATTGAAATATAGATGCTTATATACCTCATGTCCATTGCATTCTCCAAAACCGAAAAAAAATGTCGAAGCTGATAACTTTTGAAATGAAACAAAATATTAGATGTAACTTACCCAACATTAAGAGGACCAGTGACTTCATGACGATCAGAATCATGACTATCGATACAAGGACTGTTCACAGGCTTAAATAACCACAAGCTTCCAATAAACATTCAATATCCGCTTTTAAACGTATTAAATTACATAAAAGTTAATAAACTGTCCGAATATTTAAATTTATTTCGAGCTCTGAATAGAAAATTTAATATCAATTTGCTATTGCCATCATTATTAGTATATTCAGCTCCAAATTACCGCCCATATCGAATGATAACTCTTTAGTACCACAGAAACATAATTTGCATATTATGAACTTTGAAATAAGAAATATATACATGGCCTCAACAGCTTCAGTTCTATTAAGTACACCGGATTGGTATTAATTAATGATTTCAGTAAAATATTCGGGCGTGAGTGAACAGTTGTATAATTATGCATATTCCTGACCATATTTGCATATACGACTACGTTTGACAAGTTTATTATATTTACTTTCCATTTTAATCCAAAAGGGCGCGGTGTATATGGCAACTTGATTCTTATTCTTGTTAAACGGAATATTTGATATGCCTTCGTTGTAAAAGTTAATTAACAGTGCTGAAATATCGACTTTGTAGGTGTATCAGCGCCCGGGTGTAAAAAAGTAATATTTAGGTGATACGTGATACTCGAGTTGGTATAATACGAATTGTATATACGCGAGGTATAATTCATGCATGGGAGACCTCCACATTGTACTCACAATGAAGCACAGGGTCCCTGAACATCTTTCATACTACGTTAGACATTTTAAGTCCTTGTGTTCTTTCGAGTCTTGGCAATGCTTTTAGTCGTTTATAGCACATGAACCCTAGTGTCTAATCGGGCGCCTCGTGGGCTAACTTACTATTTCAACGAGTAGGCGCCTCATGGTCTAACAAACCTTTTTATCGATTTTGCACCTCGTGGTCAAACTAACCATTTCAACGAATAGGCACCTCGTGGACTAACTAACCATTTCAACGATTAGGCGCCTCGTGATGTAACTAACCATTTAAACGATTAGGCAGGCACAGCGTGGTCTTACTAACAATTTCAATAATTAGGTACCTCGTTATCTTACAAACCGTTTCAACGATTACGCGCCTCGTGGGCAAACTAACAATTTCAATGATCAGACTTCAGTGACAAAACACTCACCACAAGACTGTTTGAGTAGAGGGAGGACTTCAACTTTCAAATCCTCACTTTTCACTTTAAGTCTTGGGATAATATCCCTGGAGCCTTGGTGTCTACATTTCACTTCTTTTGAGGTACAATCGCGCATGCTCTTTCTACGTGACTTGCATACGGGCCCCAGTACTCCATGCCTGACAGAGGTCCCCAGTACACCATGCCTGACCGAGGGCCCCAATACACCTTGCCTGACAGAGGGCCCAAGTACACCATGCCTGACAGAGGACCCCAGTACACCATGCCTGACAGAGGTCCCCAGTACACCATGCCTGATTAAGTAGGTCCCCCGTACACCATGCCTGATGATGTAGGTCCCCAGTACACCATGCCTGACAGATTAGGTTCGTAGTACGCCATGTTTGACAGTGTCGGTCCCCAGTACACCATGGTTGATAAAGTAGGTCCCCAGTACACCATGCCTGATGATGTAGGTCCCCAGTACACCATGTCTGATGATGTAGGTCCCCAGTACACCATGTCTGATGATGTAGGTCCCCAGTACAACATGTCGGAAGTGTAGGTCCCCAGTACACCATGCCTGATTAAGTAGGTCCCCAGTACACCATGCCTGATGATGAAGGTCCCAAGTACACCATGCCTGATGATGTAGGTCCCCAGTACCCCATGCCTGATTAAGTAGGTCCCCAGTACACCATGTCTGACAATGTAGGTAACCAGTACACCATGCCTGATTAAGTAGGTCCTCAGTACACCATGCCTGATTAAGTAGGTCCCCAGTACACCATGCCTGATTAAGTAGGTCCCCAGTACACCATGCCTGATTAAGTAGGTCCCCAGTACACCATGCCTGATGATGTAGGTCCCCAGTACACCATGCCTGATAATGTAGATCCCCAGTACACCATGCCTGATTAAGTAGGTCCCCAGTACACCATGCCTGATGATGTAGGTCCCCAGTACACCATGCCTGATTAAGTAGGTCCCCAGTACACCATGCCTGATGATGTAGGTACCCAGTACACCATGCCTGATGATGAAGGTCCCAGTACACCATGCCTGATGATGAAGGTCCCAGTACACCATGCCTGATGATGTAGGTCCCCAGTACACCATGCCTGATGATGTAGGTCCCCAGTACACCATGCCTGATGATGTAGGTCCCCAGGACACCATGCCGGAAATGTAGGCCCCCAGTACACCCTATCCGACAATGAAAGTAACCAGTACACCATGCCTGATTAAGTAGGTCCCCAGTACACCATGCCTGATTAAGTAGGTCCCCAGTACACCATGCCTGATTAAGTAGGTCCCCCGTACACCATGCCTGATGATGTAGGTCCCCAGTACACCATGTCTGACAGATTAGGTTCATAGTACACCATGTTTGACAGTGTCGGTCCCCAGTACAACATGCTTGATAAAGTAGGTCCCCAGTACACCATGCCTGATGATGTAGGTCCCCAGTACACCATGTCTGATGATGTAGGTCCCCAGTACACCATGTCTGATGATGTAGGTCCCCAGTACACCATGTCGAAAGTGTAGGTCCCCAGTACACCATGCCTGATTAAGTAGGTCCCCAGTACACCATGCCTGATGATGAAGGTCCCAAGTACACCATGCCTGATGATGTAGGTCCCCAGTACACCATGCCTGATTAAGTAGGTCCCCAGTACACCATGTCTGACAATGTAGGTAACCAGTACACCATGCCTGATTAAGTAGGTCCCCAGTACACCATGCCTGATTAAGTAGGTCCCCAGTACACCATGCCTGATTAAGTAGGTCCCCAGTACACCATGCCTGATAAAGTAGGTCCCCAGTACACCATGCCTGATTAAGTAGGTCCCCAGTACAACATGCCTGATAATGTAGATCCCCAGTACACCATGCCTGATTAAGTAGGTCCCCAGTACACCATGCCTGATTAAGTAGGTCCCCAGTACACCATGCCTGATTAAGTAGGTCCCCAGTACACCATGCCTGATGATGTAGGTACCCAGTACACCATGCCTGATGATGTAGGTCCCCCGTACATAATGTTCGACAGTGTGGGTCCCCAGTACACCCTATCCGACAGTGTAGGTCCCCAGTACACCATGCCTGACAGATTAGGTTCATAGTGCACCATGTTGCCTTAGCTCCATAGGAAAATTTAGGAAAGAACCACAAGAACTACTTGTCTGACTTGTTGCAGGATTTAGAAGTAACTAGGACAGTGCAGCAGAAAATGTCATTAGAGCCAAAGCAGTATACTCAGAGCAGTATACTCGTAAAGGTAAAGAACCAGATTTTTCTCCAGGCTACAGCGTTTGGCTTTACTGTCAGAAAGTTGAAAAGGGTCTTTGCAACAAGTTAACTAAGAAATGGTATGGCCCTTACTACATTGTGTATCTAGGATCCAACTACACTTATCAGTTACGAAGATGTTCAGATGATAAGCGACACAAGGCCTTAGTCCATGCAAACAGACTGAAACACTACTTTGACCCTGCTGATCGTCCAGCCTATCCACCTGAGCCTCTGGTCAATAATGGTCAAGACATTGACCCTGAAGAAATTGATGAGGATCCTGACCTTCAGACAGGTCCCCCTCCTAGTCCTACCTGTTAATCACCGTCACCACCAGACCTTACACTGGGTAATAACAAGAACAAGGGTACGAAGGAGGGTAAGAAAGGAAAAAGTCCTACCAGTCAACAATAAACTCCGAAGTGCCCCACACCAACAACAACAAACAAACAAAGGGCTACAAACACCCAGAAACAACATGCAAAAGCAAACAGGGCACCAAAAGTATCACAGCCCTCAACAGCTCCAAATCCGCCGAAGGCTAGCTCATCACAAACATCCACCAGCCACACACACCCACGTGCTTAGACATAGAAAAAATTGTCACCTCAAAGCGAAGCAATGGTCAGTTATATTACAGAGTAAAATGGAAGGACCAATGAAAGGTGCAATGATACACACAGTGAAGAGAACAGTGACACACACAGTGAAGAGTACAATGACACACACAGTGAAGGGTACAGTGACACACACGGTGAAGGGTACAATTGCACACAGTGAAGGGTACAATGATACACACAGTGAAGGGTACAGTGACACACACGGTGAAGGATACAGTGAGACATACAGTGAAGAGAACAGTGGCACACACAGTGAAGGGTACAATGACACACACAGTAAAGGGTACAGTGATACACACGGTGAAGGGTACAATGATACACACGGTGAAAGTTAGAGTGACACACACGGTGAAGGGTACAGTGAGACATACAGTGAAGGGTACAATGACACACAATGAAGAGAACAGTGACACACACAGTGAAGAGAACAGTGACACACACAGTGAAGAGAACAGTTACACACACAGTGAAGAGAACAGTGACACACACAGTGAAGAGAACAGTGACACACACAGTGAAGAGAACAGTGACACACACAGAGTGAAGGGCACAATGATACACACAGTGAAGGGTACAATGACACACACAGTGAAGAGAACAGTGACACACACAGTGAAGAGAACAATGAAACACACAGTGAAGGGTACAGTGATACACACGGTGAAGGGTACAGTGATACACACAGTGACGGGTACAATGGCACACACAGTGACGGGTATAATGACACACACAGTGACAGGTACAGTGATACACACAGTGACGGGTATAATGACACACATGTGGAAGGGTACAGTGACACACACAGTGACGGGTACTATGACACACACAGTGACGGGTACAGTGATACACACAGTGACGGGTACAGTGATACACAGAGTAAAGGGTACAATGACATACACAGTGACGGGTACAGTGATACACACAGTGAGAGGTATAATGACACATACGGTGAAGGGTACAGTGAT